ACACTTGAAACTGTGCCAATTTTTGCCTCCAGGTGATACTGGATCAATTAAGGACTAAGATGTAAAGTAGACAACTTCCATGAACCATCAGAAGTGAAGATGTTAAGAGTTAAGCAAGCACATCAATCAAGAAAACAATTTCACATTATGCACAAATTTGAAAGTATGGAAACAAGTCACAGGCAAGAAGAATAAAGAACACTACATTCTTTGATGAGCTTCAATCCCAGAAACACAACCATCTACTACAACAGGAAACTCCTACTAAAAACAAATGGATTTATTGGGGCTGGCGCTGTGGCATAGTAGGCCAAGCCTCTGCCTGTGGCACCAGCATCCCATATGGGCACAGGTTCAAGTCCCAGCTGCTCCTCTTCTGATGCAGCTCTCTGCTATGGCCTGGGAAAGCAGTGGAAGGTGTCCCAAGTCCTTGGGCCCCTGCACCCATGTGGGAGACCCGGAAGAAGCTCGTGACTTCGGATCAGCTCAGCTTCGGCTGTTGCAGCCATTTGGGGTGGGGAGTCAACCAGTGGATGGAAGATCTCTCTGTCTCTCCCTCTGTCTATAATTCTACCTCTCAAATAAATAAATAAAATCTTTTAAAAAATGGATTTGTTTTCTCTGACTCAGTGCTCCACGTAACAGCATTACTTTTCTATCAAGAAAAATAGACTTCTATCACTGCAAACAGTTAATATGCATGGTCATTTTACATAGTAAGCATTCAATAAATACTTCTTGAATTAATGAATAAATTTTTCCTAATGATGTCTGCTGTGATTTTTAAAGATCCTAAAAATAGATGGGGTAGGAGGGGAGACGCTGTATCAGGTTAATTTTATTTGGTGAGTATCCTTTATTTGCTGAGTATTGCTTTAAAAGGGCAATCCTGACCTTAACTAGCTTCTCCAATAAAATTATTTGTTATAATCAGACACTGGAAAACTAAAAAAGAAAAGAAAGAAACTTAAGACAAACCACCAAGACTGTTTTGGCCAACAGTTATTACCAACTGTCTTTACTAAGCAGACACCTAGAAAAGGAAAAAGTGGAATCAGTCGATGCTCTGCAACAACTAGTTAAGTCCCACAAATTATCAAGCGGAGATTTTACAGTAGTGCTAGTCTTCAAACAGAGTATCCATTAATCAAAAGGAGCGGGGACTATGTACTGTCCCTTATAGTGGGCCTATGTAAGAGATGGGAAAATCTAGATTAAAAAAAAGATCTGACCTCTGGCACCGACCGAGGAGGCTGAGAAAAAGCACACAGCCATGGCCAGTGCTCAGAACTCGATCATCCTCTAGAGGCCACCCAGGGGAAACCCTCCTCACAGCCCCTCTTCTCAGCTCTCTGCGCCGGCAGCAACTGACTCTGCCCTCTTCCTCATCACCCCTTAGCATTCATGCAAGTTGTTTTCACTGCATATTGACCTTGGGTCTCACGCTGTGCACCTGGATACAGCTGAAGTGGAAAAAAAAATCCACATCACTGCACAAGGAGTCAATGTCCAGTACCGTGGTGTGACCACATAACAAGGGCCAACAGGAACAAAACCAGGCATCAAGTACCCGATACTAAACGCACACAAATGAAATCCTCACATCAATGGGAGTGCAATTTACAGATTAAATAGGCTGACATTAAAATGTCAGATGACTGAAGTTAAAAATTTTTACTGGGGCTGGCGTTGTGGCACAAAGGGTTAAGCCACTGCCTGCAACGCCAGAATCCCCATGTCAGCATCCCACATGCAGGACCATTCAAGTCCCAGCTGCTCCACTTCCGATTCAGCTCCCTACTAATGGCTTGGGAAAGCAGCTGGGAAGGTGGCCCAAGTGCTTGGGCCCCTGCACCCACGTGGAGACCCAGAGGAAGCTCCTGGCTCCTGGCTTTGGCCTGGCCCAGTCCCAGCCATTGTGGCCATCTGGAGTGAATCAGTGGATGGAAGATTTCTGGAGGAAATCAGTGGATGGAAGATTTCTCTCCGCCCCCTCCCACATACCCAACGCTCTTAAATAAATAACTAAATCTTAAAAAAAAAAAAAAAAAAAAGGTGCAGGCATTTGATGCAGTAGTTAAGACTCAGCGTGGGACACTGACATCCCATTTCACAGCCTGGGTTCCAGGCCCAGCTCCATTTGATTCTAGGTCCCTGGGAAAACGCACCCTGGGAGGTAGCAGACAATGGCTCAAGTAGCAGGTCCCTGCCACCAGCCATTGTGGGCATTCAGGGCTGGGTGGAGTGGAAGCACCAGCTAGATCTCTGACTTTCAAATAAAATGAAAATAAATTCTCAAATCTTTAAATAAAAAACTCTATCCAAGGGCAAAAGTGACAACATGCATTAACACCCCATGTTTACAAACCAGCTCCCAGGGGTCCCCGGGATCTAGTAACAAGCGTTGGCAAGGCTGTGGAATGCGGTACACTGCTGGGGGGATGCTAGAGCCACAGCAGCTTTGGAAGGGAGTCTGGCGCCTTCTCAAAACATCAAACACAGAGCCACCACGTACCCCAGCACTCCTGGGCAAACACTCAAAGTTACTGAAAACACGTCCACGCGAAAACCTCACGAATGTTCCCAGCAGCATTATTCAGAATAGCCAGAAAGTCCACTGAGGGATGGACAAGGCCGTACACACTTAGGCCTGGCATTTTCACATCCGGAAGTTTACAGACAGAGCTGCCAACACGTAGACAGACACACACAAACACAGATGCCACTGCATCCGCCTGTAACTAGGGCCTGGAAAACCCCAACCAACCACTTACTTCTCACCACTCAACAAATTACGATTCAGCCACACGAGGCGCTACCAGCCAGCACTAGCAAAAATGCTGGATGGCACAATTTGTGGAAACTCGAATATGTGCAAAACACTGAAAGGGGGAAAGTGTCACCAAGGGAGGCAGACTTTTAGAAGTGCACGTGTACTGCTTTTCAAATTAAGAAAACAGCGACCGAGGGCAAAACAGGCTGGGGAGGGGGGGAGTTCATCTGCCATTTGCAGGCCTCAAGCCTTCCCTGCAAACCCAACGGAAAGCGATGCAAACTCTGCACCCAACTTGCCTTCCACTGGAAGACTGGTTTAGTGTCGTTCCTCCAGGCGGGCGGGACGCCCTCCCTCAGGGACACTTGGAGAAACCCCTAGGGGAAGCTGACCCTGCACCCTCTCCCTCTCCAGCCACCTTCCACAAGACTGGACCCTCCCATGATTGTAGCTTGCAATCCGGCATTTTGGTTTTATGCTTGGTGATGCTTAGTTAATTAATCGGTCACCGCCTCACCTCAGTCATTTTTTTTTATGTCATTGAAAGGAAAAGAAGATTTACTACAAGGACTGCTGTCAAAAACCTTTCCGACCGGAAACAAGTGTTTACCAAGAGCGAGCTAAGCAAGTTAATAAAAACATTTAAATTTCCCCATCTCTCCACATTAAAATTCAAATATATATTTTACGGCTTTACTCTTTAGAACCACATCTACTTTTAGCCCCAGCAGGGAGCTTCGTGTGTACCACTACAGAACAATGGTTCTGCTAAGAAATACTGTGACAACAGAACAATGCGTAACACACGCTGTGGCCTACCATGCATATATATAAGAAAATATATATATATATATATACACATAATACGAACACATGAAAACCTGTTTCTGGAAGTTTCCACGAAACCACCCACAGCGGCCTGGACACCAACTTTTCTGTCTACCCTTAGAGTCTGGGTCGTGGAACCGTGTTATTTGCCCTACAATACAGTGCCAAGAAACACAGATCCTGCAACACAGAAAAGGTGTCAGAAGCCAGGCGCAGGCACCCACCCCTCCCCGGGGTGCACACGGTGCAGAGGGCCCTGAGCTCAGCCTCAGCAAGGTGGCTACAGGTCCTGCGGCACCCCTCTTGTACTTTGGACCCAGGCAGGTGCCAGCCGGGGATAGGTACTTACAGCAAGCCCGCCTCTTCCCTCCTCTGCTCCTCGGATCCATCCACCAAACCCAACCTCCCTCCACTCGCAGCTAAACCTTCCGTGGACCGTGCTTCTCGGCAACCCGACACGGTAACGGGTCACTCAATGTACGTGCAGGCTCTCACCGCTCCGGCACACCTGGCTCATCAAAGGCTAAGGGCGGGAAACTCTTTATTAAAAAAAAAAAAAAAACCACAGGCACCGGCTCACGCAGTCCGCGGGACACAGTCCTGCGGTTCACAGCACCACACCGGACTCCTGCACGCTCGGGGTCAAGCCAGGCAGACCCAAAGGCTGCCAAGTCCCACTCACTGGACTTCCGGAGTAACATCATCCATCAACTCAAATGCAACAGCCACCCCAAGGGCCTGGCTGGGACTGTTCCCAGGTGACAACCCTGCCCGTTCGGCACGCCGGCGGGTTACGAAGCGACAAACGCGACCCTCCTCTCGGAGTAGAGGAACAGCAAGACCCCCGGTGTGTGGGGGGGCACTGGAGAGTTGCGTGCGTGAGCGCATACTAGGGACAAACAGGACCCGCGGTCGGCCGGGGACGCCGCGCCACGCGGGACGCTTCTGTCCACTGGGCAGCGGTGGCTCGGCCAGCCTTGCAAGGGGGCAGCTGCCGGGCCAGGCGTGCCCGGCGCACTCGGGGAGCCCTCTGGGACCGACCCCCAGGGTCCAGAGGCCACGAGCTCGCAACCCCGGGAGGTGGCGTGTAGCGGAACGCCGAGAAAAGCCCGCGGGGAGGAACCGCACGTTCCGGGGCGCCGAGCTGACGCCCGCAATTTAGGAAGGTGACCCTCGGCCCTCCCCGCGGGAGGAGGGTGCTGCACGGATAAAGTTACAGCTGACGCCGCTGCAAACTCGAGGCGGGGGGCTCTCCCAGGGAGCCCGCGCCCCGCAGGGGGTGTGGCGGCCGGGACACCCACGGGCACTGGGGGCCGAGAGGCCCCCGCAGGCGCCTCCGCAGCCCCGGGGTGGGCAGCGGGGTGCGGCCCCCCGCGCGCGCGCTCGCCCGCCGGCTCACCGGTGATGTCCAGGTACAGGTCGTCCTGGTCCAGGCGGTGCAGCTCCTGCGGCGTGGAGCTGCGGCTCTTCTTCACGCCCGGGGAGGTCGACGAGCAGCGCCGCGAGCAGGGGGGCGCGGCGGCCCAGCTCGGCCGCCGCTCGCTCTTCCGCTTCATGGAGGCGGCCGCGGCCCGTCAGGGGACCACGACCATGGCCCCGCGCGCCCGCTTGTCCGCCGAGGCCCCCGCCAGTCCCGCGCGCGGGCGCTCGGGGCGGCAGGCGCGGAGCAGCAGCGCTGCGGGGACAGTAGCAGCAGGCGCCGGCCGAGCCTGCTGGGAGGCGGCCGCGCAGGAGCCGGAGGAGGGGCCCGGCCCACGGCGCCTGCCCCGCTCCCTCCCGCGGCCGCAGCGGGACCCGCGCCGCAGCCCTCGCTACAGCGCCTCCTGCCGCGGCCGGCGCCCCCCAGCCCGCCCCCAGGTGCCCGCCGCCCGCTGGCGCGGCCGAGGCGCCGCTGCTGCGGCCGGCGGCAGGGGCTGCCCGGGCAAAGCGCGCGCGCCCACCGCGGCCGCGGACGCTGCTGCCGAGGCGCCCGAGCACAGCGGGCCGCGGCTCCCGGGGACCCCAGGAGGGCTGTTCCGTGGAGCTTCATTCACAAAAAAGGGCCCACAACCCTCCTCGGGGCCCGCAGGCGGAGGCCTTTCATTGGCCGGCGCCGCGTGACGTCACGGGGACGGGGCCTTTCTACAGGCAGGTAGTCGGTGACGCCATAAAGAAAAGTCTGAGCGGCTTCACCAATCAGAGACAAAGCGCGCTCGCGACCCCCGGAGGGGGCCCCCAACTTTTGTTTGGCGTGCGGCCTCCGAGGGCCGGCCGGACCGCCTCTGAGTTCTCTCAGGCAGACCCTCCCCCAGCGTTTACGGAGACCCCCGCCTGGCCACTCACTCCGGGTCTGGGGCACGCACAACTCTTTTAAGTATTTTTGGGCGTCCCTCGTTATTCGCGCCAAGCGAAAGGAAAGGGACCCCTGCCATGGCCGCCGGCTTGGAAAGGAGCCCGGAGTGGCTAAGCCGTCCGCACCTCGCAGGCTGAGGGGAGAGCTGGTTTCGGACCTTGCCGGGCCGTGCGAGGCAGGTACGCCCCACGTGTCTCCCAGCAAGCCGGAGCCGGGCTCCCCTCAGGAGGTGACGGAACTACTCCCGCCGAGACGCGGCGGAGCGGGCGTGCGTGCGGCTCCGCGCCTCGGGGAGCCAGTGCCCGCACCCACCCGGGGAACAGTGTCTACACCTGCGGTTGCGGGTGGCGGAGGCGTCCCCAGGGCAGGGCCGAAGCTGGGAGGACGTCCCGAGGCCAGCGGCTGAGTTTCGTCCTTGAACTTCTACCTAGCGAGCTGTGGGGGCGGGGGGTCACAGCCCCTTCTTGTTTCCTCCTGGGTTTCCAGACCGTCCCGTCCTCGTGGGAGCTGTCATTTATTTACACGGATGTCCGTGGTAGCATTTAATGGCGGGGGGGACTGGAAGGCAGCACTTCGGTTTTCTGGGCCCCCGAATTCGCGGTCTGCGAGCCGTTCCCATCCCCCCCTCCCCCCCGGCATTCTTCACATTTTACCCCGCGGCGACCACCGCCAGCCTCCGGACGAGGAAGGTGGCTCCGAGCGGGTCCCCCGGAAGCCTCTCAGAAAGGCTAATTTCTCGGGGAGGGGCCGTTGGGCTCCCACGGTCGGTGGACGGACCCCCTAAGCAGCGCTAAATAAGGAAGGCGGGGAGTGTGGCCGGCCCGCCTCCGTCCGGCACCCGCGACCCGCAGCCCAGTGCCCCCGTCTGCCCCCAGGAAGCCGCCGAAGGCCGAGGATCCGCGAGTGCGGAGCCCGTGGCGGGGCGGCGCGCCCGGGCCTCGGGGAGCCTGAAGCGCGGGGCTCGCGAGCCTGGTATTGGGACCAGGAGGAAGGGGAGGCCTTGCGGCAGACTGCTGGCCGCGGCAGTAGCGAGCCCAGCTGTCGGCCCAGGCTCCGAGGGGTTTACCCCAGTAGGGCCTCCGAGCACCCAAGTAGGGACTCCACGTGGTTCCCCCAGACTCAGAGAAACGTAAGGACCCCCAGGGCGCTGGCACTAGAAATCCCAATAAAAGGCACAGACTGTACAGAATTGTCATAAATACCGCCCGAGCATTCCCCTAGTATATGAAGAGGAAACCCTATCATTATGTGGAAATAACTTCCCTTCCTGGGAAACAAGGAGCCTGGGAAATGCATATTATGGGGAAAAAATGTGGATTTCAAAAGCTTTTCACACCAAAATGGACACCCTTTAATTGCATTTTTCCATTGTCTTCTAAGGGTGGATGTTAAGTTGTACAGAGGCTAGGAGGGAGAACTAGTACCTGCAATTCTTCCATGACTGTTGTAAGGTGTATATCCACAGGAGATGTAACAGGTAGATCAAAGGGTATTCACTTTTTAAAAAATTCTCATTGAGGGGCCCGCACTGTGGCTTAGTGGGTAAAGCTGCCTCCTGCAGCACCGACATCCCATATAGGCGCTGGTTTGCGTCCCGGCTGCTCCACTTAAGATCCTGCTCTCTGCTATGGCCTGGGAAAGCAGTGGAAGATGGCCCAAGTGCTTGGGCCCCTGCACCCATGTGGGAGACCGGGAGGAAGCTCCTGGCTTCTGGCATCTGATTGGTTGCAGCCAATTGGGAAGTGAACCAGTGGTTGGAAGACCTCTTTCTCTGCCTCTCCTCTCTCTGTGTAACTCAGACTTTCAAATAAATAAATCTTTAAAAAATTTTTTCATTGATACTATATTTAAGACTACTTGTTTTCCCCAATATAACCAACATTTTAAGTTTGAGAATAAAAATTCTATCTCATTATTTTCTTTTAAAAAACTATTTATTTATTTATTTGAAAGGCAGAGTTACAGGGGAGGAGGGACAATCCTCTGGTTATTCCACAGATGACCACAATGGCCAGGGCTGGCCCAGCCCCAACCCAGCAGCCAGAAGCTTCATCCCCAGGTCTCCCACGTGGGTACAGGGCCCAAGCACTCAGGCCATCTTCTGCTGCTTTCCCCAGGTGCCTTAGCAGAGAGCTGTATTGGAAGTGGAGCAGAAGTTCAAGTCCAGACTCGAACCTGCGCCCATATGGGATGCTCCATCATAGGCAGCAGCTTAACCCGTTACGCCACATGCCAGCCCCTCACCTTTATTTTCATTGCATTCCCCTGATCACAAGTGAAGCTGAGCATATTATAGAGTTCCCAGATATTTGCAATACTTTTTCTAACAATTTCTTACTCATCTCCTTTGCCTATTTTTCTACTTGACTGTTTTCATTTTCTTTTAGATTTGTGGGAGCTTGTTATACATTATGGGCAGCAGCCCTTCAACATTTTGCAGATTCTGCCCATTTAATCTTCATGACATACTCTCTCTATTCATGGTGCTCTACAATCGATTTGTCAAGTCAGTTTCACCAGTTTTTTTTTTTAAGGTTTCTAGGTGGTGTAAATTTTTTGTTTGTTCTATTTACTTTAGACATATTCTTGAATAAGTATTTAGCTTTTTATCTGGAATTCATTTGGGGGATACAGAATCTATTTTTATCCCAAAATGTTGTACTACACAGATCATTTTCCATATTAATTGAAAATGTTACCCTTTTATAAATCGGTTCTCTTTTATACTGTGCTCTGATTCTGGTCTTTTCTATTGATCTTTTTGCCTATTTGTATCTGTGCACATTATTTAAATTACAGTAGCTTTATAAAAAATGGTTTGATGTCAAGTGGGATAAGTTCCTCTTCCTATTTTTGTTTTCCAAAAATATTTTATCCTTTTTATTTTATTTACTTTTAGAAAACTTTTTTATTTGAAAGATAGCAATCTCCCATTCTTTGGCTCATTTCCCAAGTGCTTACAACAGCCAGGACTGGACCAGGCCAAGGTTGGAAAACAGGAACTCAATGTAGGTCTCCCATGGAATGGCAGGGACCCAAGGAGCTGAGCTCCCACCTTCACAGGACGCTGGACCCAGGACTGGAACCCGGGCACTCCAGTGTGGCACTCCAAGTGGCATCTTAACTGCTGCACCAATGCCTGTCCCCAGAAAAACCCTATAAATATGGCTGTCACCACCTTAAACTCTACATCAAATTTTGCCTCCCTGAAGAGTGAGCGAACAAGGTATTTTGTGCTTCCTGTTGTGATACAACAGGATGAGCCCAGGAATACTTACAGAGTATTCCAGTCAAAAATGTTTGCTGTGCATCTAATCAAGCCTGGAGACCTAACTTCATTTTACAGGCTACCTAGGGTTAGAGGAACACTTGGAAGACTTGTAAGGAAACAAGGGCCCTGTGGTAAAGGAGCCGTTTAGTACTCAGATTTTTCTCTCTATACCCAATGCCCAAACATAATTGCATCAAGTCGCTATAATCTATTAACCACTTACCTTAAGTAATTAACTGTTCACATAAGACTGTGGGATTTAAGCATCGGTATGAGTGAGGGAGCCAAACGGTGCTCAAACCATAGCAACCTTAAGATGCGTGACAGGGGCTGGCCTTGTGGTGCAGCAGGTTAGGCTGCCACTTGCAACCCTGGCATCCTGTATCAATCACCAAACTCAGTCCTGGCTGCTCTACTTCCTATCCAGCTCCTTGCTAATGTGCCCAGGTACTTGGCCCCCTGCCATCCAGACCCAGACAGAATTCTGGGCTCTTGGTCTCGGCACGGACCAACCCTGGCCGTTGCAGCCATTTGGGAAGTGAACCAGAGGATGGACAATCTCTCTCTTTCTGTCTCCTCCCATTATCACTCTGCCTGTAGAAAAATAAGTCTTTTTAAAAAAAGATTTTATTTATTTGAGAGGTAGAGTTACAGACAGTAAGAAAAACATCTTCCCTCTGCTGGATCACTCCCCAAACAGTCGCAATAGCCGGAGCTGAACCGATCCAAAGCCAGGAGCTTCTTCCAGGTTTCCCACGTGGGTACAGGGGCCCAAGCTCCTGGGCCATCTACTGCTTTCCCAGACCACAACAGAGAGCTGGACTGGAAGAGGAGCAGCCGGGACTAGAAGGGATGCCCATATAGGATGCCGGTGCTGCAGGCAGAGGATTAACCTACTGTGCCACAGCGCCGGCCCCAGAAAAATAAATCTTTAAAAAATGCAAAGCAACCTGAGGGGAGAGGAGACATTTAGCCTAGTGGATAACATGCATGTATGAGGGCTGGCACTATGGTATAGCAGGTAAAGCTGCCGCCGGCACTGTGGGCATCCATATGAGTGCCGGCTCCACTTCTGATCCAGCTCTCTGCTAATGCACCTGCAGCAGAAGATGGCCCAAGTGCTTGCACTCCTGCACCCATGTGGAAGACCCAGAGGAAGCTCCTGGCTCCTGGCTTCTAATTGGCCCAGTTCTGGCCATAGTAGCCATTTGGGGAATGAACCAGCAGTTGGAAGATTATTTCTACCTCTGCCTTTCAAATAAATAAAT